ATATTAAAGAAAATTATAATATTAATATTATAATATAATATTAATATAATATTAATAATATCTAATAATATTAGAAATTTAAAAAAAAATGTTTTTCTGATAAAAAATTTTTGTTAAAATAGTTTTTTTTAAATAACACCACTTGTTATATAATATTATATAATATTGTAGTTTATATCAGTATCTCGTATAGCTTTGAAATGAAGTTAAAATCAGAATATAGAATTAACGAACAAGAATATTTTCGTAAAAAATTGTTTTATGTAGACAGAATTTTATATGTTCAAAATTCATCTGTTTTTCAGAAAAAAAATTTTTATACTTGTTTTGTTTTTTTTTTCAAATTCTTCATAATTTATTAAATTTTTTTCGATGTTATAAAAAAAAAAAATTATAAAATATTTTCGTATATAAATTTTCTTCGATATCTCATAATATACAGAAATAATCTCATGTGCACTTTTTTTCACGTGCATATTCAACGAAAAAAGTAATTTGAAACTTTTTATAAATTATATATACAATTTGTTCTAACGATAAACCAAAATAGAATACAACAACTTATTTTAACAATAAGGAGCTTGATATTTGTTTTGTTAATTTATAGATTCTTCATGAATATTTGAATTGAAAATTTGAAGAATGTCAAATTGATTTTTCAATTTGTTTCTACAAAATGTTTATTTGCTGAAAAATATATGAATTTTGAACATGTAAAATTGTCTATATAAAACAATTTTCCTAAATTGAAAACATTGGTTTGACTTCAAAATAAAGAAAATTATTTAACATATATTGACATGATTTATAATATTGCAATATTTAAAATAATCATCTCACTTGATAAAATTAACATGATTTTGAATTTTTTATTATTTTCTATATCGCATTTGTTCATATATATATTAATTCTAACATCATAATTTATAATTAATAAAAAACTGACTAACTTTTTCAATTTCGGAAAATGTTTAAAAAAATGATGTATATATATTGTATGTATATTGTATATATTGTATATACTGTATATATATTATATATATTGTATATANTATACATATATTTATATACATATTATACGTGCGCGCACGTATGTGTATACATATATATATCGTAAAATTATTATTATATGAAATTATTATTATTATATGATATAATATGATATAATATATACAGATAGTATTATATATATACATACAGATATTATAATACATACGGATAGTATTGTAAATATTATAAATATAAATTGTATATTTTTATAATATAATATTTATAATGATATATGATCATAGAATGATATATGTTCACATTCATATGTAAATGAATCAAGAGATTCGAAATAAAATGAAAATCAAGAATAACAAAATTGAATAGGATACTTCATGTTAAATTTGAATATTTTTCAAATATAAATGAAATAATTCCATTATATTATATGAATGAATTATTAATAAAAAATTATTCTAAACATGAAAATAGCAAAAAAGCAAAAAATATAGATTTATTTTAAAAAAATATAAATTAATTTTCAAAAAAATCGAATTTACATGATTCTTTATCATTTTATTATTTATATTATTATGCGATATTGTATATGTTCATGTGATTTTTCCAAAAACTAGAATAAAATTGGTAACATTACATTCCAATAATCGAATGATCATATAAATATAATTTTTCAATTTTTAAAAATCATATTTGAATTACTAGATTATAATGAAGTTAATTATATATATACAATATACAAATATCATTATTTATTATTGTCATCAAATTATTGAGATATAATTCGATCACAAACGGAGTACAATATTTCTAATGATTGTATCCAATCAATACACAGTTAGAACTATATATATATAGTATTTGTATTTTTTTTATTATATTTTATAATTAATTTTAGTTTGTATAAATTATCTAATATAATAAAAATGATAAAATGAAGAATAGAGTTGTCGAACATCAAATAGTAATATTTTACTGTTTTAATAGTATGTCATTTTTCTGGATGCTTAATATTGATTAACCTATTCGATATCTCTTCGTGCGTGCCACGAAAAGCAATATAAAACCTACGCAACACGATAAGATGAAAATATTCGCATTCGTTACAACGTTGTACTTACGATAAATTCAATACAAAAATAAAAATTAATTTTAAGAAACTTTTATTAATTCTTTTAATAAATGGAATTTTAATTGTTAATATGTTATTTTTTCTTTATTTTACTTTTTCTTTTATATTGTTCATTCATATTGATTTTTAATATTTTAAACTACAATTAATTATGATAATTAAAATATCATTTCACAAAAAAAATAATTAGATTCTACTATTATTAATGCATCAAAATTAATATCAAGTTTATTTTTTTTTTTTAATGAAATGATAAATATTAATAGTTGCATCATTAAAAATGATTTTTAAATGAAATTTATGATAATTCATTAAATGATTTTTTCAATAATAATTTTATTATTACAAAGTATTTTATCGTGATGATTCTATTTCGATATTTCAATTCGGATTCCAAAATAATAAAAAAAATCTATATTTATATATAAAATGAAACTTAACAATAATTTTATAGAATAGAAATAAGTATAAATTTTTGATTTTTAATTTAATTTTTTTTAATTGATTTTTGATTTTAAATTTTTTTTAATTGATTTTTGATTTAAAATTTTTTTTATTAATTATTGATAAAAACTGATTAAAATTTTAAATACTTTATATTATTATTATTATCTACTTTTCATTGTATTATAATAAAAATTAGTATATTATAATAAAAAATATAATATATTTCAAGTATCTATTAATATTCTAAAATTACTGTTATTATATAATAGGCTTCCTGTAGCTAAAAAAATAAAAATATTTTTATTAAAAAAATATTCATAAATAACAACGGCTGTTAAGAAACTAATCTTCATTTTACTTAAGTTTAAATTATTATTCCACTATTATATTAATTAAAATTTTGATATTCCATATTTCCGTTCTATCTCATATTTCTTTTCTTCTATTTCTGTACTGATAAAATCAGTACGAATGCTTATTCTAATCAAACGCGATCTCGATTACAACCTGAATTTAAAATGATATTATTTATTTTTTATAAAACTTTTATAAAAGCACTTTATACTGGATATATAAATATATATAATATAATATAATATAAATATATATGTATACATATTTTTCTAGGGAAGAATATATGTTAAATTATAAAAAATAATTATAAAGAATAATTATAAATAATATTTTTTTCAAAATATATTGTAATTTTTAAAACATTTTTCTTTGTTTAATGCATATTACATATAAACATTATTAGTATTTAGCAAGCTGTTTTTATTCGAAATATTGACATATTTTACTTTTATGTCATATGTTACTTTTATGTATACTAATATGATAATTAAATGATTCATAAAAATTAATTTTTTAAGATATTCCTTAAAACTCTTTAAAAAAATTTTTCCTTTTTTTTTTAAATTAAAAATAGTATATTAATATTT